TCCATCGAGCTTGAATAAGCGCTCTATCTTATGCGACTTGAGAGACGTACAGCTATCATACAATATCTACCGGCAGTTGCGAAACCTACTCATTATGAATAAAAGTGATATCTTCAGTATTGAGGGCTTGTATTGTTAATGTGGTAAAAAGCACCGAAGAAGAATTCGACAGAAGAAGAGACAAGCATGGGAAAGACGCATACTCGCTGGCATGAGGCACACGCGAGTACTGCATTGGTTCGTCCATCACCCGGCAACTGCTGTCCAGCTGACAGTCTGGTTTTCTGGTTGGCTGGTAAGCTGACCGATTCGCTTCGGCCAAGTGGAGACACGACTTCCTGTTGCATGTACGCCCTCAACTGAGATGGGAATTTCTTAGGCGGCAGCGTACAATGTGAGAATGCCTGCCGGACACCAAGTCGGTGTCTCTCTTCCGAGGTAACGAGGGATCTCGGATCCAGCAAGACAGACGGTGGGACGCATCGACAGGATAGCGTTTGCGCAACAATATAGCAACGTTTCAGTGTGATCCAGCCTCTTGTCAAGCCTAACTGATAGGTCTGAATTTGCTGTCACCCAGGCAACTCGATCTGCGACTGTCGAAGCCGGCGAAATGACCAAAGAAGAAGCAACGCTCTACCTCACCTCGGGCTTCCTCCACGAGGCGAGTTCACGGTTTGTGCGCTGGCGTACCCGACTCTACACATGGCGCCACCTCGACTGGCTCATCCTCGTGATGGCCGCTACCAATGTGATCTTCATCGGCGGAAAGCGTCGCACCTTCGGCATCTTCATCACCGCCCTCAACCAGTCCTTCAACGGGACCTCAATGAACGAGCTCAACTGGATCGGCGACAGCTACGCTTCGTTGGGCTTCTTCCTGATGCCCTTCGCCACCACGGCCATCCTACGCCTCGGCCGCTCCTACCGACTCACTATGCTACTGGCCGCTATCGCCATTTTCATCAGCTGTTTCACCTCTGCTGTCGTCCCCTCGCCGGGCTACCTCTTCCTCACACACACCCTTTTCCATGGGATCGGCTCCACCCTGGTCCTCTGTGCCACCAGCCTAGTCACCGGGGACTACTTCGACAAGACGCATCGCTTCCATGTGCTGGCCACCGCTTTCGTGTCGGGCGGTCCCTACGGTGCCCTCTTCCTCGGTCCTTTACTGTCCAATTTCATAATGATCTACGGCTGGCGAGTGGCCTTTGAACTGTTCGGCGTCCTCTTCTTTGTTGTCTGCAGCCTGGGTGCCATCACCTTCCTGCCGCGATACAGCCTGGCCTACGTTCGCGTGGTCAACGCCGAAGAGCTAAAGGTCACGGAAGAGGCTGAAGCATGTAAACAATCCCTGCCATCCGAGGCCGCCACAGTAGAACCCTGCTGCATCCATGAGGATACCAATCAGGAGAAAGTTGCCCAAATTCGCGAACTCATCAACGAGCCAAAGGCCACGGATGGCAGAGGTTGGGCGTTTTGCACACGGCAACACCTGCTCGACAACCCGCAGATTTTTTTGTGGGGCCTAGAGCGACTGATTCACAACGTGGTAATGTACGGATTGATGATGAATCTGGTCAATTATGCCACCATGCAGTTGGACAATCAGTTGAATCGAGGCTCTCGCATCAACATCTATTTCAGCCTCGGCGAGTCCATCATATTCACCCTCGGCGCCCTCCTTGGCGACCAGATCCGCGGCCATCTGGCCATCTCCTACTTTATCGGTGCCATCTTCGCCGCCATCCTTTTGCTCATCCTTCAGAGCACTTACGCCGACGTCGAGGTGGTCACTGTTCTCGCCTCTTTTCTCGGCGCCTCGGTCGGCGTCGGCAATACCTTCCTTTACGCGACAGCTGAGGAGGTTATGTTGGTGCACGGATCAATCGCTTTCCCGATGACCAAAATGATCGCTGGTATTGGAATGCTTCTGGCGCCTCTTTTCTCCGGTCTCGTCATAGACCGCTACAACTTTGGCGGTTTCTTCCTCTGTATGTCCATCCTCGTGAGTATTCGCGTCGTTCTACTGATCGGAGTCAATCTTATACTGTTGCGGAAGAAGCGTCGACTGAGACACGAAGCCGAAGAGCTGGCCAAAAATCTGGGCGATGGTGCAGACCACGAAACCGCCATCGCTCATTGTTGTCAGATGTCCCGAGATCGTCATGCCGCCAGTCATGACGCTTGTGGCTATCACTACGTGCCCAGCTACAGCTCACTAGTGCCACGCGCCAGTTTGGCCAAGATCGAGGTCGGACTTGACTTGCCCGTTGTCAGGAGGGCAGGCAACCTTAAGGAATTCGAAGAAGAGGTCGGCCCTCACCCGCAACTGAGCTCGGTCGACCGGCGATACGATGTCCCTTGAAGCAGACTGAGTGAAGATGCATAACGCACGTCGTCACTTAGCGTGCCTTCAAACTCTGTCGGCAAGCGACCCTAAAATGAGACTCTTCAAACACCAAAATACTTCCACACTATTCTGCTCTCCAGCCTACTTTGGTTGTTATCCACAGTCTACACGAGACTCCAAGTAGGCTGTATTATTAATATGACATTATTTTATTCCACTAAGCACTCTGCGAATTTGCTTTTTAACTGAAACTAGCCAAAACAAAGGGCAGCAACTGGACCCTTTTGTATCCAGGGCATACTACAGCGCGACAATCGCACACAGAGGACGACCTTAAGTCGATCTCTCAAATTTATTGTCCTTATACTTTCTTTTACGGGGCATACGTTAGTGGGGCTGCGAATTCAAACATGGTGCACTTTACAAAATTATATATCTATTTGTATACAATTATAAATAGATCTTTTAACGCGTGCAAACCCGGATGCTATCAACGCGCCTAAAAGTTAATCTCACAAGGCATATTTTCGGCATCAGTTTTAGAGTTTATTTCGGATTAACTTTCATTTCACATAAAGAAGCGAGTGGAGGGGATTCAAGAGTTGGTCTCGGCGCAAGAGTTTATCAGGGTCGCAGGTTGGTACTCCAAGGCAATCCCCCTACAGCTTCAGGTGAGACCAACTTACGAATGCCTTACACTTTCCACTTTAAAGGAAATGAAAGGTATTACAACATCAATCTATGAGAAAATATTTCGAAACCCTGTTTTTCTGCATACCCTCGCAGTTTTCGAATTTGTTTTTATTATGTAATCTTCCTTGATCTGCATAGCTTAACGCCCATCAAATAACTGACCGCACCTATTTCTAATTTGCACCAGCTCAAATCGGGTCGAAGGCGTCACGAGGATACGTTGAAACTCAACTACAAAGCCACTGAATTCAGTGGGTCCCAAGGCAGTTGTGACATTTACTGCTAGAAAGGCCTATTCCAAATCACATTCATAGTGGATTTGACAGTAAGCCAAACTTATATGAGACAAAAACAATAGATAAAATCACTTATTTTCGAGACTATTAGTAATTCTTGAACATTATTATACATTTATCAGCTAATTTGCTTGCATTCTGGGTTTCAAATCTTGTTGCCATATTAGCAAATTAGGGAGAACTGTGGTTTAAGGTCCACTAAGCATAATCAATCTACAGCAAAATAAATGCAAATAACAACAATCATCGTTGTGCCATTGTGTCCAGGCCTTGAGCCAAAATGAACAAAATAGTGATCAATGTAAAGTTTAATAAATAATCGAAGGTGTGAACACCAAGATGGTATGGCCTTTTGTGTAGTGGTAGTCTCCTTTTGTTGTATAGAGGTTGTTTGACCTTGTATTCGCAACATGGTCATGTTGGTAGGAAGACTTAGACGAATGCACCTAGTCCGGAGTCCATTGTCTGTATGATCATTTCCAAAATTGAACCGTGGACGTGGTACATTCCCAAACGTTTCGCCGGCATCGTAGTCAACATCGTCAGTGAGTATCACCATCTTTAGCACCACACAACAACTCGTCAAAGAGACAAGTGAAGCCGATCCTTTGGCCAAACGTGTGCTAAACAATTGTGTTATCTTTCCTTCTTCCCTGGCTTATTTGCGTTTCCTGTATCATCCTATCATACCTTCATTATTACAATTAATACTGTGTTTATTTATATATAATGTGGTGGGCTC